CTTATGATCAACAGCGTTGCCAAACTTTATCAGAAGCAGGTTTGAAGCAAATACACTTTTTTCTATAGTATAACCATAAATAACTTAGGAATTATTATTATTGACATTTTGTCGCTGTCCGGGGTTCTAAAACATTTTTTTTTTTTCGAAAAATACCTTTATGTGAATAAAATAAAAATAATTTTGTATAAAACATTTGTATAATAATGTATTTAAGCGCATAAATATGTTAAACCTTAATAAGTACGTAGGTACCTAAATAAATAATTAAAATGTATTTAAACTGTGTATTTTACATTTCTTCTATACTCCGGTTTTCCTCACTTTCACAAGGTTTACTATAACTGGGTCGATATTGTCCAGTAAATTATCGATATTCCACATCTGTTTTTCTATGCTTATTTTTTTTTAAACTATCGGATATTCAAAGTATAAAATTTATCTAGTACGCCCCTGGGTCAAGTATAAGTATTTCTCCGATTCTCTGTTCCGGCAAACAGAAAATATTCCAAATTCCAGTTGTAACTGCGACTTTAAATATGGTTTTATTTATTTGTACATTTAGTTCTACAATTTTAAAAACTGGGAATGATTCAAGGCCATTTTACGATAGATGTGAACCGTGTTTGACGAGAATCCCGGTTTGCTTGCCCCTTCGGGTAAGGAAACGGTGGAAGCCGGCCGGTACGTGGAAGGTCGAAGTAAACTCAGGTTTGAATCATTGGTCATGGAAAACAGACGTGTTTAGTTGAGTCGGGAAAAAACCGGCAAATTTGTTGAAAATAGTGAATTATACTCTATGTAATGTGTCAGTTTTGAAAGAGTAATCACTGTTTCTATGTTTCTAAGTATCTAGGAGATTTGTGTAGTCTACAACAACTTTGATGGATATCCATATGTTGCCATTGTGTCCAGTTGTACCTATTCATGTTATTTAGAACGCCGAGTCCAAGTTTTGCGTCCAATTTCAACCTCAAATTGTTGTCCTAAGAAGTCGTTTCAAAATACTTTTCGTAGTTTGGAGATGAATTTGTTCGTGTGGCAGAGAGTGTAACTCCAAAAATCTTAAGTAACAGTTAGTGAAACCCAGGACGTAAGAACCTTTTATGGGGCGTCCTCTATCTATTTAAAAGTCCTCTATCTATTTAAACTAAGAACGTGGCGTCCTTATTTTAAATAGATAGAGGACCTTCTTGTGTTTTGTTTGTCCATTTGTCCAGAATATTCAAGTAAGTACCCCTTTGTTTCATTTTTGTAGTTGCCCCAATCCAATCCCATTGTTTCATTCACTTATCCACGACATAAATCTCCAAATAAACCCTGAGCGCCGTTCGCATAAGTTTCGTTTATTTTGCTTGCACTATCTCCACCCCCAGTAACGTCTGTCCCCAATTTTCAACCCCCCATAGTAATACCCTTTATGGTATATGGTATAGACAAAATATTTCGTTACAAATTACGTATTGGACATAAACTGATCATCAACAATTATAATTTATTTATTCTCAACTGTAGAACAATATAAAACTTTACTTAAAGTTGACTAACAATATATTTTATATTTTTCTTGACATTACTTTAGAACTGTCTATACTGTCAATACAAAATTAACAACCGTAGAACAATATCCACTTTTAATGTTGGATATTCTAACATTATTTACCAAAAAAAGTTATTAAGCATATCGATTATAAAATTGCTGATTACTTTTCGAAAACTACTATCACATAAAAAAAACAATAAAAAATATTATTTTACTAAAATGCTATTGACTGTAACGGGTTAGTTTTAATTTAACATTTTTGGGACCCTGGTAATATTCGATTGAAAATTATTTTGAAGAAAATCGGCATCGCCGCGCTAAAAACACCCATAAGGATTGCATTGCTGTATGTTAGTGTACTGTAAAGTCAAGGAGGGACAGATTATAGTACTAATTATACTTTTCTACAAGCTTATACTTTTATTACTATTTTACTTCCGAAGTCGAATAGGCACACGGCTGAGTGGATATCAGCAATTGAAAGCTATCCAAAAGAATGTGACTAGGAATTGTTTGCTAACCTCAAAGAAATTCTACAGTGACAAAGATTTAGACGAAATGAAGAGATTACTGAGGAAACTGATCAAATTTTGACCAACTAGTAATCATTCTACAAATAAAAAAAAAAGTAAACTTGCTAACAAAGCGTTAGAATCATTGTACCGCCACAGAAAGAAATTATTCTGGTGAATAAGGTCTCTTGACTAAAATTTGTTGTTTTTTCGTCAGATCCAGCCAGTGGCGCACCCAGGGGGAGTTTGGGGGTTAACCTCCCCCCCAGGCACTATTCCGACACTGTTACTCACAAATTTTAAGGACTCAAAATAATATAGTTAGCATAAAAAAAATTTGGTGCCTGACCCAAACCGCCCCCTTCAGAAAAATTATAGGTACGCCACTGGATCCAGCCTTTATTGAGTGAAAATTCACTATGAGAGCTTCCATGAAATAAAATTTTTTTAAGGAAAATATACTGTAGCAATTTAGTAATTCACATCCATGGAAAAAATACAGTATGGAAACCACTTATGGAATAAAATTGTTTGTGTCCTTATTTTAGAAAATAATAAAAAACGTTGAGATACCTTAACTTTAACATTTAAATGTGTACTTTTTAAACATAAATTTGAATGTACAGGGTCATCCACGCAAGTCTGGCATAGACCATAATCTGTATTTTAAATGAAATACCCTGTATATTATTATGTTTTTAAAAGCTCCTTAACAACCTCATCTCAACGAACTATATCATGTAGGGTCTATTATGAATAATACAAAGTGAAATTTTGAAATTAAGTATGAATTTTCTTCAAGACAATTAATTCATAGAATACCCGAGGTAATTGATTGGATTACATTGTTGTTCAAAATGTTCTCCACCTGTTGGTGGCAATAACACAGTCTCCTATAAAACTCGTCCCTAACTTTGTTTAAAGTTTGAAGTGAAATATTCCGTATTTTTGTAGTTAACCCTTCTTTGAGGTCTTCAATGCTAGTTGGTTGTGTTGCATATACTTTGTTCTTGAGATAACCCTACGGAAAAATCCAAAGGCGTAAGATCGTCCAAACCTTTTATTGAAGAAGATTTCATTCAAATAATTTCTCACCATTAAAGCATAATGGGTGTTGCATCGTCCTGCTGGAACCAGATAGTTTCATGCCGTAGGTTCGGATCTATTGGATTGGATAAAAGTTAGCCAACTGAGGAAGAACATCGTCTCTTAACATGCTTAAATATTTTTTCCGCTGTCAAATTACCATCTACAAATATAGAACCAATAATATAATCTCCTATAATACCTGCCCAAACATTCAACTTTTGAGGATACTGAGTGTGTGTCTCGCGCATTCAGTGAGGATTCTCCACTGACCAATATCTACAGTTTTGTCGATTTACCTCTCCGTTCAATGTAAATGTTGATTCATCAGAAAAAAGAATTGTGCCAAGAGCTATTTCATTTGTGTTAATTTTATCCATCATTATTTCGCAGAAATCCATTCTACGATCTGGATCGTCTTCTATGAGCTCCTGCACAAAAGTCAATTTATATGGATGAAGTTTTTCTTCATGGAGACACCTTAGGACAGTTGTTTGACTCACATTATTTTGACGTGTAATTTGACGTGAACTTGACGTTGGATTCTCTGCAACACTTAACAAAATATCCACTTTCACCTCATCGTCAATGAAGTTCGGTTTCCTTTTTAATGGTTTGACATATCCAAGTTCTCTGAATTGTGCATACATTTTAAACACAGTACCTTGTGCAATATTAGGCAACTGAGGATTCCTCTGATTAAATAAGTTTGCTACTTTAACTTGACTTCTACAATTCTCCCCGTAGCCGATCATCATTAAAATATCAATCCGGTAGATCTCAGTTAAATATTTCATTTTTATTTCTGTAATAAATTAGCTTTTAATTAGGAATTTATTATTTTAATGTAAAATGTCAACATACCAACAACTGATTGATAACAATCCGCATTATTTACCGAATTACTTTAATTAACAGACTATCTAGAGAGATTTTACCTATTCATGACAAAAAATGTTAACACGGTTACTAAACAGAAATTTTCCCCAATATACTGACACTTAGAGTAGAAGTGTATTGTCTTCTTCTTCTTCTTCAGGTGCCATCCTCCGCTACGGAGGTTGGCAATCATCATAGCTATCTTAATTTTTGAGGCAGTAGCTCTAAATAGTTGTTTTGAGCTGCATCCAAACCATTCTCTCAGGTTCTTCAGCCATGAAATTCGTCTTCTTCCGATGCTTCTTCTGCCATCTATTTTTCCTTGCATTATGAGTCGCAGGATGCCATACTTATCGCCCCGCATCACATGTCCGAGATACTGTAACTTTCTTTCTTTATTTAGCTAATTTAAAATAATACCAAAACACGTGGTAAATTATTAATTTCAAAATATCACCTTGTATTATTCATTATAGACCCTACATTATATAGTTCGTTAAAATCAGGCTAAGAATCTTTTAAAAACATAAAAAGTATACAGGGTGTTTCATTAAAAATAAGGATTATGGACTATGCCAGACTTGCTAAGCGTGGATCACCCTGTACATTCAAATTTATGTTTAAAAAAGCACAATAAATTTAAAAGTTAACGTGTCCCAGAGTTTTTATTATTTTCTATAATAAGGACACAAACAATTTTATTTCGTAAGTGTTTTCCACACTCTATAAAAATGCTTTTAGCTCATAGATTAGTGCAATAAAAGCCTAAATAGTATCAAGATATTTCCTTAACACATTACGACAATCTATTAAAACGCAATAATCAGTCATATCTGTTAGTAACAAAGCAGCAACTTAATGCAAAGATTAATTTCAAACTTTCTAAATAGAAATATATTAATGAAGGCATCATTGAGCAGCCACTATAACATATATCAAAAAAGCAAAGTTTGGCTAATAGTAAAAGAACTTGCACCTACTATATAGGCATTTTTTTAGAAAAAGACTGACGTAGTAGAAAGGCCTAAATCGTTTTCATCCACATTATATTCTATATAAGAGAGATCGTGCTTTAAAGATGTTGCCCTGCAAAGGCAAAAGTTTATATCTTAATAAATATTTGACATGTTAAATTATTTATATAAACAAAAAAATGTTTTTAACTTACCTAGTTAATTCTCTTCCAGCTATTAAGGCCGTTCTTGACCTAGATCTAACTAACTGGGCCCTCCTTTCAGCTAGAATATACAAAAAATATTAGATTATATTGTTAAATAAATAATATTGAGATTATATAGAAAACAAAAAACCTACGAAGCTTATACAAGTCTATAAAAATCATTATTAGAGTGAATGAAGATGATTGTTTCTATAGAATTGAAGTGTATTAAACAGCTGTAAGCTAAATAAATAAATAAATGGGGAAATAAATAAACAAATAAATTAACAATAAGTAAGGAGAAAAAAACAAAAAGACCACTTGTGGGAGACACGAGATATCTGTGATTGCGTTTATTATTAGCATGACTCAAAACCGAAACACATGGATTAACGAAACTAGAAGAAAATAAGCCCACATTTTACTATTAAGGCAAAAAAGTAGATGAGTATTAAACAATAATAACTTCAAAAGTAGTATCTGCTCATTTACCTTTTCTTGAAACTAATTATCATAAAATGGAAAACAATGTTAGGACTTACATACCCAAAACGTCCAAAGCGCACTCTAGAGAATCATTGAAATACTAATTATTAAAAATTACAATAAAACAACTACTTTTGACTCACCTCCTGCTGGTCGATGCCCCCTTCGTTTCTTCTGCTCCCTTCCAAATGCGCTACCCGTAGAAAGAGCCTCTAGCAAACTGTAACGAAAAGAAAATTTGAATAACTCGTCATCTTATTAAAGTTTATGCTGATTCCATACCTATCCATAACTCCTTCCTGCGTTTCTGAAGGATTCATATCAATCAGCCTTCGTTTATTTCTCTCTTCCTTTTCTTTTTCTTGTTTTAGTTTCGCTAACCTCGCCTTCTCTTTCTTCTCTTCGATTTCCTTTTCTCTCTGATTATCAGCTTTGGCTTGCTGCGACAAAAAATTGAGATATTAATTAAAAACGAAATATAAAAATAAACAAACGTATCTAAAACTAATCCAGCATTTAACTTACCAAGAAACTATTTTTAAACGTTTTCAAATCCACAAAGAATTCTTCTAATGCATATTTCTGTTTGTCAAACACGTAATATTCAGCTAGATCGTTATAGAGGTTTTCTACTTTCTTTAACATTTTCTGCATGATGTCACATTGTTCTCTGGCTTCTTCAGCGAATTTCTTAAAAAAGAATGATAATAAGTTAGTATCAAAGCCTATAAAACTATCTGAAATTAATAAAACAAGTAAATATTTTGCATTCAATGCATTTAGATTTATGCAACCCCTAATTACAATCTCGATATATGCAACCATTATTACTTATTTTTAATCATGGTTGTTCGTTATGAATTACTATCTTTAATGTATTTGTTTGTAATAAAAATCCAGAAAACAACAAAATCAAGTACCAAGAATATTTTATATTTTTTTGGTCATAAATCGCACCGATGGTAATTTAAATTTATTTTTAAATTTAAGTTTTAGGGTTTTAAATTTTTTTTAACTATAAAATATTTATGTATAAAATTTTGTAGTACGCCCCTGAGCTTGATATAAACAATTTTGTCTCTTTGTACGCATTCAAATCCCTAAGAAAAATTTATCTATTGGTACGTGTTGGATTTTACACTGGAAATGTTTCCAAGGTTAAATTTCACAATTCGTAAATCGCAGTAACGGAAGTGATCCAAAGTTTTAACTTGCTTAAGTTAAAGGATTTTTTGATTTGGCGATATAGAGGGGCTTGCGGGGAACGAAGACAGGTATCTGGCCGGTTTTTTTGTGATCGGCGACGCGAAGGTCAATTTTAGGTTTGGAGAAATATTTGAGTTAGATGGATGTGTGGGCATTTTAAGTGATTGAAAAATAATATAATGGTTTAAGTGGTCAATCACCGGTAACTGGTGGAAATTACTCTATGTAATATTGCAGATTAGAATAGAGTAACCACTGAATATTTAAAGGATTTGTGCAGTATACTAGAATATGGTAAATATTTAAAGCAGTATATAGGGTGTGATTTATTTCCAACCTCAAATTTTGTTGTCCCTGATCGTCGGTGCAGACTATGGAGATAGTTTCCTTTGTTCCTGTTCAGAAATTTTCCACCCAACTTCTAACCCAGAGATGTTAGCAAAAATTGCGGAAGTGTCAGTGCAAAATTTATATGAATTAAAGGAAAGAAGAACCTTTCTTTCTTCCAGCAGGAAGTCTTCTCAAAGCGGCGTCCTAATTGAAATAGCTAGAGGTATCTCTTGTTGTCATATTTTGTTCATTTGTTCCAGGAGATTTATGTAAGTACCCCTTTGTTTCATTTTGCAGTTACCCCAATCCGACCCCTTTGATTCAACTTATCCACGACCCAGCTCTCCAATTAACCCCTGAGTGCCGTACGCACAAGTATCGATTGTTTTGCTTGCCCTATCTCAACCCCCTTAGTTTCTGTCCCCAATTTTCTACACCCATCATCTTACCCTAAGGTATGCAAAATATTATTGTTACAAATTAAATTACAATTAATGTTTTTTAATGGTTTGAGTTGAAATCCGAAAAATGTTTTCAAAAGTTATTGAACATAAAAATTAATATAAATAACCTATGGATTATTGAATTTTTTCTTCTCATTTCTCATAGTTTATATTTGGCCTCGATTTTAGTGGCATCATCCACGTACTATATTTGTAGATATACAAGTCTTGAAGGTGTTATTGTAACACTCAATTGACACCATATTCTGATCTTTTTATGCTTATTGTTGATTTTGTTTGTGTTATTCTTAAATTACAAATGATATGACATTGATACGTTGTTAGCACAAAAATGTTGATACTTTTTATTACTAACTTTTCTCATTATTGGGTAACGACGATCTTCTATCAACAAATTCGCTATACTATTTGCTTCATTTAGTAAGATACGAGCTGCTTCCTTGTTTTTTTCTCTTTTTAGTACCCGCCTCCTAAAAATTTTCAATTCTGTTTGTGTTTAAAGACCAAGATGTATCCAACCATCATTACAAACCTGACTATATGCCAATAATATTATAATTTTTGCGACTATTATCGTCGATTAAAACAAGGGTGTCCTAAATGTGTCTAGTATCGTAATAAAGACGTTAATTACAAACGTACTTTACTGTAAAACTGTTTTGTGTTGGACAGAACCCAAAAAGGATAGTTTCAATGATAAATGACAGATGAAACTAGATATATTCTATAAAATCGTTGTAACATTGCTTTGAGTACACGACTCTAAAATTAAAAAAAAACAAAGGAGAAATAGTTTCAGAAACTACTTCAGTTAAGAAAGGCAGTAGAGAAATGACAAATGACAGATGAAACTTTCAGAATGATAATATTGAGATGGACTATTAAAAAAACGTGGATAACGTGAAAAAATTAGTACATAATGATCCAATAGATATCAAATTGACAGAATATATGTAATGGTGGTAAATAAACAGCCCAACGAAAACTTAACGATGAATTACAAATGATGGATTGATTTGAAATCGTATCGTATTTAAAACAAAAATGAACTATAAATAACAATAATACCCCAAGAAAATTAATTCAGATGTGTTTTTGTTGCTAACTTACCTCCATAACTTCTAAAAATTTGTCTTCTTCACTCTGAGGTACCCTGTTATTTGTCAAATCCGTCTTTAAATTTCTTATGCTAGTGTCCATTTGTTGTAACGCTTTTTGTATCGTATCTAACGATACCCGGCTGGCTCTGAAATAATAGAAAATAGACTTGAAACGTGTATTGCAAAGATTTATGGGTAATTATATGTGCTTATCTTTGAAATGGACTAATTTTACAAGCGATATAGCTCCAGGATCCAACTATACCGCACAAACAGGAAAAATTAAAAATATCTTAACGTTTAGGATTAGATAGAGTAATAATAATTGGTACTTACTGATCTATATGAGGCATTTCATCGTAAAAATTAAGGAGATCTGGAAATTTGTTCTCTATCGTTTCAGTAATATAATGAAGAAGCGTTTGCTTATTCGAAACGTCTTTTGTAGAGGTTAACTGAAATAAAAAAAAATAGAAATTAACACAAGTACTATCTATAGATGATAAGCTTACAAAGATAAGTCTTGTCAATGGGTGAAGGCTTTCACGACTTTTCAAGTTTTTTGTTGCGATACATGGTTTTCCAGACATATAGGCCAAGTATTAGGAGTATCTTTGGAAAAATTTCTTCAATAATAAAACAAACATAAGTTCCCGAATACTTTAAAGAAACAACATAGAATTTCATGAAATAATATAATATAGTCATACAGTCATACAGATCACGAGATAGATGCTGCGCAGTCATATAAACCACGAAAGGCGCAGTGTCATTATATTTTCTATGATATCTTTGGCATTCTCACTCAAAGCCTCAATTTTGACTTCTTCTTAATCCATCTTTTTCTTCTTCCTCCTCTTTATAAGCATTCTGCTTGTTCATTGGGGGATCAATACCTCTATGGAAGGTTGTCACTCCATCTTTTGCGCGGTCATCTGATACTTCTTCTGCTGATTGGTGACTTATCTCTTGCTATTTTGAAGACACAGGTCTCCTCCATTCTGCTTATGTGGTTAGTCCATTATTTTTTCTTCTTTTTATTCTTTCTAATGTCTTCAATTCTCTTTTGATCTCTCAGGGTACTTCCTGTAATTCTTCTCAGTACTCTCATCTCTGCCATTTCCAGTAGCGTTTGCATTGTGGCTGTGTCGGTTCTTGTTTCTGAGGCATATGTCATTATTGATCTTAAAATTTGGTTTCGTCATAGAGTGTTATTAAGGCATCCTGCCAGTCCATTTGCTTTTTGTACTTGATCTCTCACTTCTTTGTCCAGGTCTCCACAGCTGGACAGTATTTTATTTCCATTACTTGTTCAATGCTGATGCCATCAATTTCTATTTTACATCTGGTTGGTTCTTTGCTGACTACTATTGTTTTAGTTTTCTGAGATGCCATTGTCATATTAAATTCTTCTGCTCTTATGTTAAATCTGTGGACCAGTCTTTGAAGACTATCTTCATCTTGGGCTATCAATATTGCAAAGTCTGCGTAACAGAGTATTATTTATTTCTTTGTTTCTGGTTCTATATCTTCTTCTAGAGAATATTCCCTGTATTCTAGAGTCTGCTACCTTGACAGTTGTGACTGTGTCTTTTTTTTTTCTTACCTCGCAGAATGGTTCTGAGAACAGGAATACCATAGTTTGCCTTTTCTTTGCAAATCTACCAGTCTTATCTAGTACAGCTATTCTTTTATAAACTTATGAGATTTTTGCAGTCCAAATTAATTTTGATTTAGAAAATAATGATTTTGAAGATTTAAGGAAACCTGACACTCCTGACAATACTGTTGTCTGCACAAATTCTACTGTTCAGAGCTGATTAGTTAACATATATTTATATTAAGCCCCTCCACCAGTTCCATTCTAATGTCAAAAACCGCACACAAACCGTCCTTATAGGCCAAGCCCACGAGATGAAGCCGACGCTTTTGAAATTTTTTACGATGTCACTGACTGTTTTGTAACAATACTGTTTTCTGCGCAAATTCTACCGTTAGAGCTGATTAGTTAACATATATCTATATAAGCTCCTCTGTCACTTCCATTCTAAAAAGCCGACGCTTTTGGCATTTTTTTAATGTTTAACATGTCACTGACTTGTCAAACGTTGAAAACATTGAAAAAGCGTCAATAACGTTGGATAAGCATAGAATATGTTTAAAAAGCGTCAAAAATACAGAAAAATGATCAAAACGTTGGAAAAGTGCCAAAATCGACAAAAAAGCGTCTAAAAAATGGATGTAAAGGTACTGGAACTATTTCGATGCCATTTTTGGTATTAAAACGGTTGCAGACTTTTGAAGCGTTAAAAAAGCGTTGAAACACAACATTAAAAAATCGCGGAAAACACGTGAATGAGTCGAAAAAACTTCAAAGTATCGACAGCATTGAACAATCCTTGAAAACACCTCCAAATCGTAGACATTATTGCTCTAGCGGTGGTGTTTGACGTTAGTGATGCATCTACAACGCTTATATTCAGTTATTTGTACACTTCTGATATCAAATGATAGTTTCCATTCTACTGACTGGTCGAAGTTCTAATAGTGTATCCACAACTCACATTTTGCTCTATGAAATGCAGATAATCATTTTGGGAGCGAAATTTCTTTGCACTATAAATACACGCGAGTTAAAATATTTCTTCTTTTTTCAGTACTCACATGACGATCTTACAAAAAAGTGCAGAAAAAGTAGAGATTTTTAAGCCACGACATCCAATTTTGGATGACCTTCACGAAATTTGTTGAAAAACGAAACGGGACCACGATTAAAATCGGAAAACGAGAAAACTAGCCACCAATACATATAAATTAAAAACATTATGAATGTAACAATTGAAAGATATCTCTAGTAGTTCTAGTCTAGTAAGTAGACGAATAGAATTAATTACCTTGGTAAGGAAAGACATTTCAAATCCGAACGCTTGCGCATTTTTACTTCCCGTATTCATATAGTTACCCATCAGTAAAATAAGTTCTAAAATCCTGGCGAACTTTTTACTCTTCTTCACTTCTTCGCAAGCAGCTGTAGCAGCAACAATTCCCTGAAAAAATGATTACATTTAGCTGTTCATCAATAAGAGAAAATAAATAAATTTTATAAACTATTAGTCCTTCCATTAGATAAAAACTGTCAAAAGTACTTACCGGTTTGATATCCTGCACCATTTCCACGTAATGATGCTTAAAGCTGAGAGATTTTCAGCCTAGGCAGCAGCCTCTTCACTTCGGACATCTTCACGCAGAACTGTTCAGCCTCAGTCAGGTCTTTGTATTGCTCTTTGAAGTTTTGGAATTTGTTTAATTGGTCGGCAGGAGGTAAATACTGAAAAAATATTTTCAATAGGTTAAAAATGCAGGCAAAGTTAAATGGAATACATGTACAAACATTATGTTAATACTAAAATCAACACTAATAGGAGAAAAAAGAAGAATCATCTTGGAGGAATATCAGCGTGACTCCATAACCTCCAAATTGCAACAGTTATTCATGTATCTATTAGTTTCTGTTCTACAGGTTCTACAAGAACTACAGATTCTGTGGTTCTTATTCTCTTTTTGAAACTTTGTTTGTAGCAAATGTCTTTTTTTAAATATCTCCAACTACTAGAAGATTTAGAATCCAACATTTACAATTTTATTCACAATAGACTTTTTATTAGCACTTTTATCAACATTGCCATGCTTATTTTATTAGCTGTAAATAATTTACCTAATTATTTTCTTTGAACCCCTATTTTTTTTCTGTAGATACGCCTATGGGTTGTATTTAGTTCATTTTATCTCCTGCGTATGCGTTATGTAGTATCTATTTATTTTGGTACTCTCGCTGAGGTAGTAATATACTAGTTACAACTTATGTTGTTATTTATTCTTAATGGTACTGAAGACATGATTAAAATCAATAAAAATTAAATATAAGACACTTATTCTCAATCTAGATTGGCAAGACACTCCCAAAACCACTATCATTTCCACAACAGTACAGTTGGAACACTTGAAAGAAGACAATTGTAAAAACAGAAGAAATGAAGTTATATAGGGCGATCAGATTAATTTCTACAAAAGTTTATGAATCAAAATACGCTATTGGTAGCAGTAAATAAGTAGAAACCGGTTTAAATAGTATTCTCCCTATGTACTAGTTGCTAATTACAACAATTATTGTCATCTCTAGAACTAGAATACAGAGGAAAAATAACATTATTTCCCATAACGTATTTCAGAAAGTGTCTTAATGTGTTGTTCCAATTTTATCGAAACAGGAAGTGACAATTCCACTTTCTACGTTATCCTTTTACTTGATGATCAACATAATGATGATCTTGCTGTAATATACTACTGATGATAATGATGATCTTACTGATGAAATCTTTTAAGAAAACTTTTAAATAACGAAATAAAAAGACTTACTTGAATAAGTTGTTCGGTAACATTATCAGATAGAATGGCTTCGTCGCATCTCAGTAGAGCGTTTTTAATATCTTCATATGGTATGTGTTTGAGCGATCCCCCTAATAATATACTAATATTTTGGGCAGTTTTTCCATCCAACACTTTAAGTTCCTTAACTTTCTTCATCGTTCCCGTATTATTGCTCCTAAAATAAAAATAATTTTAAATAAAATATAATTGATATTTAGTGATAAAAATGATGCAGTTAGCAAACTGTTAATACAAAACAATTTGTCTACGAATTAATATGTAGATATTAATCTACGCGATGATCCAAGAGTTAGAAATACTGATCATTTTTAGACAAAAATTGAAAAATATTGCACTTTTCAACATTATTTTATTAGGAGTGTTAAGGGAAGACTAGGAAGAAGAAATACAGAATGAGAAGAATATTAAGACGATTTAGGAAGAAGCAGGAGAGAGAAATCAGGATGAGAAGGATATAGCATAGGAGGAGAAAAAATAAGACGTTGTAAAGTAACTGCACGAGAAGCACAGAAGATTACACTGCAACAAAACGAAGAATGATAGAACTGATGGGAGAATGGGGATCAAAAGGAAGTATGGAATTAAATATTGTCTGTAAGAGACAAAGAGAATAAGGAGAAATAGAAGAAACCTGCAGTTAAAAGGTGCAATCGGAGGAGGATCTGAAACAGGAGCCAGAAAAAGATAAATGAAGAGGACGTCAGTATAATGAAAAGGGGAGAGAGAGAATCAGAATTTCCAGGAGCGCAAGCAGGACACGGATGAGCTGCAGCATAAAGATAAATAGCAATATGGGTGAAATGAGACTGCAGCAAGACAGCGAAGAAAAATGAAAAGTATTAGCAAAGGAAAAAAGGTCGACACGTAGATAATGTAGAGGTGAGGTTGTGACGCATTAATGCGTCACAAGCATACTATATGCATAGGGAAGCTAAGCTGGGAAAGAATGGAAATTTATCATGTTTTCACTATAATATTGATTTTCAAATATGTTTTCAATCATTGTAACCCTGATGGAAATGTGGATTGTTTACAGCGTAATTCACTTGTAAGTAACCATCATAATTGTATAAATGAGAGAGACAGAACAAGAGAGAGGAACAGCATATGAAGCAGTGAATAGATAAGAAACGAGTAGTATAGCGGCAAGAGTATGGGAATAAGAGGAACATAGAAAGACCTGAACTAGGACTAGAGTAAAATGACGAGTAGCGCGGAAATGGAAACAGCATAGGGATCAGAGTAAGGTTGGGGAAGGATTAAAAAGAGAGAGAAAAATGGAATAGAAAGGGGCATTGGCAACTAATAACGCAAAGAAGGAAAACTGAAGGAAGGATAAAATTGGAATGCGAAGAAACTGTACTTTTTTTAGCACGTAAACCATTGCCTAAAAAGTTGCCATTATTCGTTTTAATTTCATGTTTCTTCTATCTTAAACTTATGGTCCATTTGTTGATTAAATTTTGTCTCAAACATAACAAATAACAAAATTTACTTCTAAAACACTAACAACTTAGCTTTAGAGTTAGCGCATGAGTGATTAGGTGTAAAAGGTGAAACTCGTCATATCTAGCATGCAAAATGTTATAAAACACCATTGAGCAAAGTTACAACACTTATAGTGATGGAATTACCTGACGATCGAAATAGTTTTAGATGATGAATTGCAACAAGCCAAGTTATTCTGCGGCTGTCTCATCTAAACACATTATTATTAAAAATGAACCACAAAATTATAGTAAATACCTTGTTCTGATGTATACATTTGTTAACCACGAATGTGTATGGTTTTTACATTATTAAGAACCTGTTTAAACATATCGAATACTTATGACGCATTAATGCGTCACAAGATGACGCCTCAGTGCGTCATAGGCTCAGGTGTATGCATTCAGATTGACGCACATGTGCGTCATGTGCCATTAAAAACTTTTAGTCAGTATTTATATGAAGTGTATAAAAAACCAATAGAGCTCGAGTGTAAAGGATGGAATTTATGGAGTAAGCACTTCGTAGGAGCGCTGAATATGATAGATTAAATGTATACTTCAGAATAAAGTTTAATATCCGCTATCAAAGTCATACTCACTTATCTGTCACATCTTCTGGTAATTTGGCAGGTTTAGACGAGAACTTCTTAGCCAAACCGTCGAGAATATCTGGTTCGGCAAGATCTTCTTCTTTTGCTCTTACCCAGAAGGCCTTTTCGGACATTTTTTGTGGTAGAATCTGAAAAGCAAAAGCATTATAAATCATTCTGGCGCATAGAAAGAAGAAAAGGAGCTGGCAACATTGTACCGATAAGTATAATACACATCTAGTCGTAAATCACTAATAGTTTCAATCGTAAATCAAACCAAAATAACCACGAAAAGTATATGAGTCAATATCTATTTCACTAAAAATCGCCTCATTAACCATATACAATAAGGATTCGTTTTATGCAGTGAAACGGTGGAATGTTAAGTTTAAAATAACTCAGTCATAGGAACAACATCAAAGCAGTTTGTATGTTATAATAAGAATAGTAACAACTTACAGTTTTCCAATTGGCCCTCTTTAATGGTCCCGTAACTTCCCACTTCTTCTTTGGTTTTAAACCGTGAGGTAACAAATCCGGCCTTGCCAAACCCGGTAAGGGAACCATACCGGGCGGAGGCGGAGGCATACCCCCCATCATGGGTGGCGGAGGCGGTCCTCCGCCCATTCCAGGCATTGGAGGAGGTGGTGGCCCACCGCCCATACCAGGCATCGGAGGAGGAGGTGGGCCGCCTCCCATTCCCGGCATCGGAGGAGGAGGTGGACCGCCTCCCATTCCGGGCATCGGAGGTGGAGGAGGACCGCCACCCATTCCAGGCATAGGAGGTGGTGGAGGTGCACCGACACCTGGCATCGGAGGAGGTGGTGGCACATTGATTTTGTTTACTAGAGCTGGGTCTAATTTTCCGGAGGGTTGGGTGGTACCCGCTCGGCCTTGGACAAGTTCTAGTTTGGCTTCGGCCTCTGTTTTTGCTGCGATTGCTTCCTCGAGTTGCTTTTTTAGGCTTTCGACTTCTGCACTCTCAATTTGCATCGGTTTGTCTAGAAAAATAATCACCAACTTTAACAAATGAGACAGCCACTAGTTAAGATAAACCAATGTGATAAAATAATTGTGATAATTTAAAAATACTGATTATCAAGTACTTTTAGCACAATATATGTTATTTTAAAACTTTAGCAAATATCCCAAAATAATTATGAAGCAACCCCAGTCATAAAGTCTTTGTGAAGTTTAAAAACATAAAAAAATTATATTCACAGTGTTTTTTTGATTGTAGAAATTGTTGATTGTTGTAGCTGTTAAATCATAGATACCTGGCAATTCACCTTCTCAAACAAAAAGTAGACGACATATAATCCTTTGGTTCCTCTACGGAAGAAAATTGAAATTTGAACTCTCATTGGAGTAACTGTAGACGACAGAAACAGCTATACATTGTTTGATCCACTATTCAGAGCATGTCACAATGTTTTATATCCAAGTGGGAAAATGCTAGAAGCAGAACTTCTACGGTTTTCAATCACTCCATTGTAATTACTTCATCAATAACAGGCGAGATAAGTGTTTGCCAAAAATGGTAGCTTCTAGAAGAAAACGTCCAGAACCAATCCGGGAGAGACAGCCATACAAACAGGGTGAAGCCCAAGGAAATCCTGTGCACAAGTATGACAAAAATATATACAATATAACAGGTAATAGCTTGTGATATTTTAAGACAACCACTTAAACGAAAAATCACTTCGAAACATGAATGAATAGAAAGGGAATTGAAGAGAAGTAGAGACATAAGAACCTCTGAACTTCATTACAGCAGTTTCCAGTCAAGTTTGTTACATTACTGGTCATACTCAAATTGCCCAGGTATACAGAAATGCTATCGAGTGATTAATTCTTCACATTTTGGTTTCAGGAACGGAATGTGATCACCTGGGTTCCTTTGTTGTCCCTAAATGCTTCTGGCTTAGCAGTGTAGGGATACGAATAATTATATTTAGCTTGCTTCGTTAATTACAGAAGAGCTTTTGAATCTGTTGTATCATCAAAAACTGAGTGAGATCCTTAAATTGAACGGGATCGATGCACAAAGACTAAATATTATTACTGAATTATACAAGCAACAAAAAGCAAGAGCGAAATTAGAAAGATGTACATCAGAAAGTTAATAATATCTCCTACTCATTGACTTCTATTCTAAATCATATGTAAACATCTTTTAAAAGCGCAAAAGATGTTTACACATGATTTAGAATAGTTAACTGCGTTGTTTTTCTTGACTTTTTATTAGAATGAACAGTTGAATCATTATCATCACACAGTATTTAGTTGACGATAAGCCTTACTCGTTCATTTCCTGCTCCGGATCTTATGAATCTTAATCCAATTTATTATAACTCTCTTAAAGATACCTACTGTCATTCATTCTCGCCATGTGAGTGATCCAGTTTCTATATTAATTCGGAAGTGTATCCTTTAGGGTTACTCTGATTTTTGGCAAATATTTTAGTGTCCCCTATATAGAACATACAACCAAAGCAGCTTCTTGGGAGAATGAAAAACATAACGAACTGGTTTTGACAATAAACAGGATGAAGCAATAGAAAATTGATCATGCTACTAGAGACGAGCGCCTTGATATCCTTAATCCGCTAATCTGAGGAAAAAGATCAATCGATCGCAGTCAAAATTAATTGCTGAGAGATCTGCCCAAAAGGCTGGGAAAATTGCCAGTTGAAGTTGTCTGTCGCGAGACATAATAGCCTCGCCGAGAGTCTCGCAAAGAGTCACCAGACTCTCTGCGAGAAATGCTAATGAGAACGAACACAAAGGTAAATTGAAGGAACAATTGGGACCGTGCAAGTTTGGAACAGCGACAGCTGGTGTCGTGAATCAGCAAAATTTACTGCGCTTTTATGTTAGATCGAGGTAACCGGATAACTGTCAAGGACGTGGCCCCAAAAAGAATAAGAAGAAAAAGTAAGATCGAGGTTATGTCGGTATGTTATTAAAAGGTAAACGTTGATGTAGCGTAAATACAAATAAATATATTATTGAATTACAGCAGTACTGTTAATATGGATTCAATAATAAAAACTGGATTTGAGAAAGTAAATCACCAAATAACTTTTCAACCAAGCACTGAGTCAAAGGAAAAAGCTTTAGTAGTGGGAAATGTCAAAAAATAATGGAAGAATTAAGAAAAATAAATTACCATAAATAATGATAATGCATAAATTAGCAGGTTAAGCCCATGATATTCATCATATTGGTTTGAACAATTAATTCTTTCCCTGTAAACTTTTGGACAGCGAATATATCTTAATGCATCTTCAGAAAAACTTTAACTTGATGCATTTTTGTAAACTTCAAAAAAATAAAATTTAAACATTAAACTTGATTTTTGGGTTAAAATGAACTTTAAGTGAGTGTTATGAAACTAAAATTTACACTTACAAGTGAACTTTTATTTATTATTTATTTCAAATTGACTTTAAAATCGGGCGCAAGAATAATGCATAATTTGAGTTATGTTACTTATGCTTTTTTATGATATAAATCCACTTTTCTCTTTGTAGTAGCTTTGTGCTTCGAAGTTGGAAACGAATAAAACTTAAATTGACAATTTTTTGTTGTATTTTTACAATTTATAACACAGCATTTCCTAAATCCCATTTTCTTCAGAGACAGAAGATGTAAATGTAAATAAACAAAACGAATATGAAATATGACAATTGACAATATGAATTTATGAAATCTATGAAATGTGCACTAAAAAATGCAAAATTTCTCCGCTACTCGCGCAAGATCGTTTCTCGTATCTCCTCCAAGTACTTGCACGTCGCCAATAGAGGAAAAGAAAATATTCAGAATGGGAAGATAAAATAGAAATATGAGTCGGACAAAATGGAGGTTCAGGAGTTAAAGAAGTAAATCAAAAATATAATTCTAACGTTGTTTTACTAGAAACAGATTTTTTTATAATGTCTAACTCATATTACTCATATTAGCATTCATGATGCAGACCTTTCCTTGAAGTTATATATCGTTATTCATTCTCAGCATATACATGGTCCAGTTTCACTTCATGAGTGCTATCCTTTTTGCAGCATCGGTAATCGCTATTCTGGCTCTTATACGATATTTTAATGTCTCCTTTACAGGCCAAAAAACCAAGACAGATTCTTAGCCAAGTAAACAATACAAGAAACTGCTTTTCACGATAAATGACAGGATCCAATCGAACATTGCTGATTCTACAATAGACAGACTTTGAGATCCTTAACATGTTAATCAATTTAGATTGATAGAGATATACACAGATAGCTGGAAAAATGTGAACTGAAATTGTCTGCCGTGTGGCATAAGGTATTAGTACCTGTTAGAATGCTAAAAAATGACATATTTTCAACAATGTTTTTTGTATCATATCTATTATATATGACAATAAAACTTTTTTATATTATTAAAAAAAGTTGAAGATTAAAAAAAAATTATTTCTTTCTCATTGTTCCTGTATTTTAAAGAGGGCGCTAGAAATTTTTGGTACAAAAATTACTGCTTGGTGGCGAACAGTAAAGGTCGATTCAGACACATCAGTCACGTCTCGTCACAGTTCTGGCGCCGAACCGAACAATCCGTCATACAAAATATTCTTTAATAGAAAGATGGCGCCGGCATTCACATTCATCAGGCTACGAACAGTTTCCCAGCTGTCAAATAATTAATAGTTCTGTGACCAAACAGGACCGGTTCGGCGCCGAGACTGTGACGGGACTGATGTGTCTGAATCGACCTTTAATCTATGGAACGGCAAATCTGAAATATAAAATTCGAGAAGAGATGGCGTTACGTGATGGTTTGCCAGAAAAGTTGATAATTCTTAAAAAAAAACAAAATGGCGGGCATTTGAAAAATTGACTTTTTTTCAGCCACAAAATTTTATTTTTTTTTTTCGGTCAAATTTGTTGTAAACTATCATAGAGAAAACCAATACAAACAAAATGCATAAAAGTTTATTAAAATCGAAGGACTAAATCTGGTCGGTCGATTTTAATAAACCTTAATGCATTTTGTTCGTTTTGGTTTTCTCTGTTATATTTTACCACAATTTGGCTAAAAAAATATTCATACAATTTTTTTGACTACAAATAGTCGAAAAAACGTCAATTTTTGAACATTTTTTTCAAATGTCCGCCATTTTGTTTTTTTTGCGTTTTAATTTTTCTGGTAAACTATCACGAAAGGGCACTTTTTTTTTAAAGTCCTTTTCGAATTTTATATGTTTCAGATTTGCCGTCCCAGAGATTAACTGTCAGCCATGGAGCAGTAATTTTTGGACGAAAGGGACTGACTAAGGAAATCATTAGACTCTCCGTGAGAAATGCTAATACGAACGAAACCAAAGAGAAATGAGAGAAAAAAAGAGGGAAACAAAAATATTCAAACAAGAAGATAAAATATAATTATGAGTGAAATAAAATACAGAGGTTCTGGAGTGAAAGGAAGAATAAAGAGAAGTTAGTTAGAAACCTAATTCTACTTTTTTTGCCAAAAACAGGTTTATGATCATATTTAACTTACCATTTATAATCCATATATTATCATCTTCAAATAAATTCAATTTTTTTGCCAGACACATTGTTGCAATTAAATAAACCCGTTCTCTGAGCACTTAAGAATGATTTCACAAGAAATTAACACTTAAGATTTTAGATGAACACCCCTAGTAAAACATATTATGAAACACAATAACATATTCAACTTTGTTACTAGGTTTAGAGAACAAAATAACCTATTTTACGTAAAAACTATGTTTTTACAATAGATTAAAGTTCAATAACTGCAGAACTTGCCTACGTGACTGACGCAAAAATGTCTATTTAATTCAAGATTAGTTAATCCATATCAATAGATACGAACATCTTTTATTTATCTCAAAATTTGAATTAATAAGATAGAATTATAAATTTATGATAAGGTTGAAGAATCAGCTGGGAGAAAAATAAAATTTCCAATATCAAATGAAATCAAAACAAATCAA